GGTCGAGGCCCGGCCCCTGCGGTCGCCGAGGCTTGAGCTCAGGGGGTTATCGCTCTCCTCACCGGGCTCCGTCGTGTCTCTACCGGTATATAAAAGTTGCTTGTTTACGTTTTGGAAATCCCCAGGGTCTCTCGGTTCTGTTCTCTGCCTCAACGGCCTTTTGAAGCTGTTTTCAGCGTAACTGCCGAGTTAAAAAGCTAATAAAATAACTAAGTAGGCCCGTGAGCTGCTTGCTTTCTAATGGCTTCTTAGCTGATTCCCCAGAGCTGTGTTTGGGTAAGAAGAAAGCGCGGCCCAGAACATTGCACTTTTGTTTTATCACTAATAGCCTTTTTTGAAAGCTGCTGATTAAAAAATTATGTCTTATTCCCTAGGCTTTAGGCTGCGGATGCTTCGGTGAATTAATTGTCTTTTAGTAATAATAAGGGAAGTGGGTGTTTTCCTTGCTGTGATGGCATTAACTTAATTATAATTAGGTATAGATAAACATGTAAAGTGTTGCAGTAGTGTTGAAATCGCCTAGCCAATATGTATGCTGGATTTCCTTGCCTCTAATTACTCTTGCTAATCAGTGCATAGACGCTCAAGCTGATAACGTGCTCCTATCCTAGCAATTTTTTATATGCACACTGTGAAACCTCATGGGCCGAGTTAAACGTATTAATTCCAAGCGGAGCGTGGAAAAAGAACATGTTATTGCCGTTGTGTGGCAGCTGATGGGTGCGAGGAGGTTAGAAAGGATGTCTGTGCTCGTGCGTCTCGGCGGCTGGGTGCGGAGGTCAGATTGACGCGGAGCTGCTGCACAAGCGTGATCTGAATCGCCCCGCCAAGGGTCCTAAATTAAACCCGCTGCTGAATCGTCCCGGGGAGCGGCCGAAGGGTAAATTCCTCTCTCTCGGGAATCCAGCCCCCTCACTCCAACATCCGAGTTGATACGGAAAATAAGGGCAGTGTAAGCATCTCTCTCTTCCTTTTTGTTCTACCCAAAACTTCCAAGCGACTTCCTCCGACTAACACGGATGTCGGTAACATCGAACAAACTTTACTGAATCCCAGTGTAATGTCTTCGTTAGAAACACGTTTTTCAGATTTTTTAAGAATTGAATTTATTCTTTGCTAATTACTCATTAAGCAGAGAAGTTTGCGTCGATTCTGCTTTTCCTCACTGGAACAGTCACTTGTGATTTATCGGTGTGGCAGTGGCTCCGGGAAGCTGGGAGGAGGTGGGAGACCTGAAATAAAGCTGCTGGCTCGGCCCGCCTTCGGAAGCGGCTGCCTCAGCCTGCGGAGCGCTTTGCTCAGCGCTGGCAGGGGAGCGAGCGGTTCTGACTTTCACGTCCCCAAAAAGGTGTCTTCACTCAGTGCCTGTTGACTTCTACCTCCTATTCGCTGTTTGGTTTTTTCCCCGTCTGCTAGGGAGTCATTTCTAGCACTGCTGTAGATATGTAGTGACAGAATGTGAAGTAAGATGATAATATTGCCTCAGGGCCCCAGAATTTTTAATTATTAAAATGTCTCCCTGCATTTATTACTCAACAGAGAGTGTGAAGGGAGACTGACTCAGCTGGGGGTTGCATGTCTTCCCAGCAGTCAGTGTAAAAGGTACATCTGTGGTGAATTCTGGACCACGTTCAACACCTGAGAGTGTATCTTTGTTTTGGGGCTGTGGGCTTTACCAGAACACTTTTGTGGCCTCCCTGTGCAGGTTTTAGCATTCTGTTTATCAGCGTCCGAGAGAAAATTGTAATTAAATGGGAGGAGTAGGCTACTGCTATGCTTAAAGGTCTGCTGATGCTTGAGAGCTTTGCAGCTCGGAGCCTGCGTTCATCCTCAGGCAGAATTGTTCTGGGTCCTGCATAGTCTTAAATCCGTGCCCTCGGGAATACATTGGTGTTGGAGCCTTGCTTTGCTAGCCTCGGTCGGAGGCACCGTTAGTCAAGTGGCTTTGTTTTTCTGTGCTTGTAGAGTGATCAGAGCATGGAGCCCTTCTCGCAGCCAGAACCAGGGTTTCCTGCAGAAAAGAGCTCACCCATGCCGCAGAAAAAATCCCGTATCCTGGTGGGTGTGACTGGAAGTGTGGCTGCCCTGAAGCTGCCTCTCCTTGTCACCGAATTGCTGAAAATCCCTCAGGTGAGTAAATCTATCGGTAGAAGTCTCGTCAAGTTGGTTTTATCCTGTTTCTCATTTCAAGGAGAGATTACATGGCTTCTGTTGAAATGAAAAGTTCCTTCGGGCTTTGAGCCCTTTAGTTGGAAAATTTGTTGGAGAAGGGATCCTCCTGGTTTTAAAAATCAATTAATACTTTTTCCTATCATTTCATATCTCTTTATACTTAAGCATTAGCTTTAAATCGGGTTTTAAGGGCGGTAACTGTTCCTGGATATTTCCATGGGCAGACATTTAGATTCTGGAATGTGAAGGTAGCATTGTTCAGTTCAGCTTGCTTCATTCTCTCAAAAATGATTGAATAGGTACTTGCTTTGTTTTTTTTTTCTGGAATATGTCCTTGTCTGTCAAATTACCAGATATGGCTGCAGACACAGGTGGATGCTTTCTGGAACTTGAAATCTCTGATTAGGATCTTGCAGTTTTCCATAGCTGAGGTGTGGAGTTGGAAAAGATGGACACTGCTGTCTGACCAACAAAGGGAAACCAGATCTTTTAAAAACAGAAATAGAAAATAGAAGCTGCTGGATGTGTCTGTGCATTTTTTTTTTTTTTTTTCCCCACTGGAGTTTATTGTCTGGAGTAACAGAGGTGTCCAGCAGAGGCCACTAGTGACTAGAATCAGGGGAATGTGCTACTTTATGCTGTAGAATAAAGTTAGAGGAAGATATAGAAAACCTTTAGCTTTTAAGAAATTAAGCAAATATTTTGGAGCAGTGAAACGAAAGAGTGGCAGGAGCAAGAGGGTGCATTTACATATCCAGATATATTTGTTAGATTGCTTAAGGGATATCCTTTTGGATGATTTAGGAGGCTTTACCTGTAGATACATTAACACAGAGCCAGAAGAGGTGCAATCCCCGAGTAACTCTGCAGTAAGAGATGCAGGATATGCATCTTCTAATCCTCTGTCTCTCGGATTGACTTCACTGTTGTCGCTTTTCCTTTGCTCTTGGTGCTTGGAACATCCTTCTCTGCAGGTGACAGGAAGAATGCAAATGATCCACTGTAGGAATCTAGGTCAAACGCGTTCCTTCTCTCTGAGCATTTGATTCATAATTAAAAACTGCAGACGGCTGGACCTGAATTCTCCGTGAAGGCCCGTAGGTTCTGTGACATCTGTTGCAGGCTTTGCACCCACTGGTTTTAGGCTTTCGTTGCATAAAATGTGAAAGTGAAGTATCCAGTCCAGGAATTTCTGGTACTTAATTTGTTAATTAAAATTACTTATCTACTTGTTTCTGATGTGATTTCAAGGCCTGATCTAAAGCCTGCTGAGTGAGTGTAACTTTTCCATTGAGTTTGTTAAGTCCTGCACAAGCCTGTTGCATCAATTTCTTTACTGATGGAACAGAACTTTCAAAAGCCATCGGTGATGGCAGGGCAGGAGCAGAGGAAGGCTTTGATACCAAAGGAGATGTGGTCAGAGGCTTGAAGCCAGAGTTGTTAGTTTAAATTGATGTTTTGGCTAAAATGATCCTCGGTGAACAACTTGGCAGTGTGATTTTGCACTCGTTAAACTTTAACATCTCCTTGCGGGTGGTAATGGATGTGACTACATCTTATTGCCTTTTGTTTAACCTCTTTGAAGGTCTAGGAAATTTATACGGCATCAGCTTACGCCTTTCAGGTTATTACCCTTGCACCTGGTGTTGTGGGGAGCCAGCACACAGTGTCTCGTCAGGACAACGTGGGTAACTCTCGTGGTTGTGCTAGACTCACACACGTTGTCTCAGGCTGATTCCTAGGATTTTTGAATGGCCTGGCAGGAAGACGATGACAAAAATTATATTGGCAGGATATTGGTTAGTCATAAAGAAAGGAAATGGCAACCTTTTCTGTGGGTGAAAGGTATTGCTCTTCAAGTTACAGGATGTCACCTGGACTTCTAGGTTTAAATCACATCGTCATGTCATTTCATTGCGCTCCTGCCAGGTACCCTCTATGTCAGCTTGTAGGTGCCATTTAACAGAGGAGCTACTCATTCTCTTCTGCAGCAGTTGTTACCGAAGATTGGTCTGTGTGTAAAGATTTTGCTGTCGAAACTGGGAAAGTATGAAAAAAAAAATCATACACACCCCCTTACGCCAAGCAGAAACAGCTGTGACATCAGAATCCTCTAACAGAGACCAACAATGTTGTGTGAACTCAGGAGAGCAGTTTTGCAGTAAAGTTTATTCTGGAGAACTGGCTGAAACGGTCCAAGTGAAAGAACTCTAACTAGTCTAAACTGTCTCCAGTAAAGGAGTTTGAGTGTGGCTAGACTGACTTTACTGTTTAAGCAGAGATATAACCACAGGCAAACAGAGGGTGTGCCAGGTAAATAGAAAGAAAAAACTATGTAGGCTAAAGTGATCTTGAGAACACTGATCTCTTTCCAACGTAGTTGGAGGGACTTGAAGGACTTGCTCAGAACAAGGGATCCAGGAGCCCACCCCAGCAGAAAACCTTAATTAGGGCGAATATTTAACTAATAGAGTTCTAACTGATAGAGTTTCTTGGGGGAGTGGTGGAGACACCACCACTCAGAGTCCTTGAACATATCCCTCTGGTATGCTCTAGCTTGTAGTGGGTTGGATGCAGTACTCAATAGCCAGCTATTCCCTGTTCCTGAGCTTATGCTTTGAAGAAATATGTGTTTTTTAAGATTGGAGATGGTTATGAAACAATCTTAAAAAAATGAAAAAAAAAAAAGCAGAGTGTCTTTTGGGAATTTTTTTGTATCCTTTAGCCTTAGATAGGTATTTCTGGTCTAGATTAGAAAATTTTTAATAATTTGTTGCTACGCAATCGAAGTAGCAAGTGACAAAATATGTCATAAGGTAGATAGAGTTGGATCACCTAAAAATCCTTGTATCGTTATGGCTGACTGTAAATAAGAATACCACTAAGAAACATTACTGCTGAAAACCTTTCATGCAGGACTGGCCTAGTGGTACCATTTCAGAGAGCAGATATGCCCCTTCAAACTGCACGTTGCTCTTTAAAATCACCAAATAAATAGTATCTTGCAGACTGCGAGGTTACACCTCATTGAAGCCCATGGCATAGCAGAGAGCAGCATTAGCACCTTTGTGGGTGTCGCTGCTTGGCTCCAAACAGCTTCCTGTGAGGTGAGGTTAATATGGAAACAATACGGTTGATTGCTGTGGATATGATCTTCACACTCAAAAGCACTAGAAACGCAGCTGTGATTCCAAGTTAGGGTCGCTTGAAAAAGAGCAGACATTTAGAAGAGGCAAAGAACTGAACATACAGTACCAAATACTGGTGTTATGTGCAGCTATATTTTCCCATTCCTTTTTCTTCAGGAAATGGGAGAAATTACCAAATACCATGATATGCTAAGGCTGGGATTTTCCACTGCTCCAAGCTGTTATTCTAGTCACGTAGGGTGCAGATAATCAACACTGCTCCATTCCCAGTCGAAGAGATAGTGTTGGGGAGATAGGTTAATATGTTTTGTCACTTCAACCGCTGCTGTTGAAGATAGCTTCTTGGAGGTTGGAGGTTTTCGGCAGTCTGTTTTAGCAAGAGTGCGCAGATCGAATTCTTCATCAGTTTTGTACCTCAGTCAGTTGTTGGTGAGGCTGGTTTCTCCCCATCTCTCTGCGCTAATAGAACCACGCAGTGGGTCGCACTGTGAACTGCTTGAAGGAGCAGACTGTGGTCAAAAGTGGCCAATAACGAGGAAAAGGCTTATTTTTCACTGTAATCGGTGGCCTGAGCTGCATCTTCCACAATAACAGTCTTTTCGGAGCACTCCTTCCATGTGTTGGCCTGTCTGTTGCCTGGTTTTAAGGTACATCCTTGGGAGGAGTTGCGGATGGAAATACGGTTGCATGTGCCGCATGGGTGATCAGCACATGCAGAGCCGCTCCGATACTGGCTCTGCTTTGCGTCTGATCCCGGTGTGTGCAGAGCACCTCTGCTTCACTGCATGTGGCAAGCAGTTGTTTGTGACATTTGTCAGACCTACAGCTTTGAGCAGGTCATGCAACATGTAGAAACCGGGGAAAACCCCCCCTTTTCTACTTGTTAAGATTTCTGCAGGAGGAAATGAGACGATCTCATGTCGTAGGGCATCTTAGCACCTCGTAAGTGTGCAAGTCAAATAAACGTCCAAGGGACGTGATAGGATTTCCCCAGTATATACCATATAACTGAAGGTTCCACTGGCTTTCAACAAGGCAGGCAGGTTTATCTAAGATTTCGGAGAGAACTTTCATGTATTTTCACTCAGTCTCTTTTTCCTTTGTGGAAGCCACTGGTTTACTGTTTTGGCTGCACAGAAACCCTGTGCTATGAACATACCTACACAGAGGTTTTCTTCTTTCCAACACCTTACCTTGATAGGAAGGATAGCTGGAAGACACAACCCCGACTTCCTTCTGGTATTTTTACCCCTGGCTGGAGCAAGTCTGATTAACACAGTTGTAAAAAGTAGTATCCAGTAGTCTGTAGCTTCCTTCCTACCTTTGTCACCAGGAGATCATTGAGAGAGAGAGAGGCAGGGGCAGAAAAAGACAGAGAGGTGCACGACATGGTCCATTCGACCAAGAAATCGTACTCTGTCTTCCAAAGCCACTCTTTCTTGTGAAGCCTTGTGCAGCAGAGATGGGCTTGCTTTGTGCTGGTGGTGCTGAGCCCCAGCTAGCCAGCTTGTCCCTTAGCGGGACTTTTGATCACTCAGCACTGTGCTTTCTCTTGGCAGAGAGCTTCCTCTTGGCTCCGAGTGTGGGAAGAGCGATCCTGCAAGTGCCGTGTAGGCGTACCACCCCTCTGCACTCCTCTGTGCTGTGATTAAGGGGATCTACTGAAGCAAGATGCTCTACTGCTCTCCTACTCCCTTTGGCGGGAGTCTTTTCAGATTAAAGGGCATCTTTCACAGAGCTTTGGTTTGCTGTTTCTTGCTGTCTCTTTGAAGTTCTGTGCAGAACTGCATCTCATTCTGACCTGCTGTGTCCTCTCTGCTGTCCCTGCTGTGAACTGGCCATGTGAACATGTTTGGCAGGCGATGGCTAATGACCTGCCTGTTTGAGGGTGGCAGTGAAATGAGTGTTTGGCTCCCTGAGCACCTGCAGTGGCCTGGCCTTTCAGCTCTGAATAGGTACAGTTACGCACATGTGCACAGTAGGGAAAAGTCCTCTGAGAATCCACACAGCTTTCAAAATCTTTGTCGCTCGAGCCCTCCTCCTCTACCCAGCTTTACAGGATTGTCCTCAAGTCTTAACTATTAGTCTGTCTTTCTCTTTCTTTTCTGATTAGCTTGAAGTGAAGGTGGTCACTACTGAGAGAGCAAAGCATTTCTACAATGCGCAGGAGATTCCTGTCACCCTCTACAGCGATGAAGATGAATGGCAGGTGAGTTGTTCTTCCTTTGGAGACTGCAAGAGCTTCTGTCCTGTCCCCACTAGCCACATGTTTTGTAATTGAAGTAGTTCTGTCATGCAGTCATGCCTTCTACTTCCAGAAGGCCAATGGGTCATGTTTCAGAAAAAAAGCAGGCTCCCTGGGAGATTTACTTAGTTGTTCAAGTGCTGAACAGCAAATAGAAGTGTTCCTCTAAGTTTCTTTGCAAGAGACCACATTCATTTATTTTTTAATCCTGGGCCAAGACTCACTTCTTTGTTCTAGTAATGTATGCTTTGGAATATAGCTTTCAAAGAACGTAGTTCTAACTGTGCTAATTGACACTAACTGTGTCAATGAGGAAAAAAAGAAAGGCTGCCCTGACTGTACTGGAGGATTTTGTACCGCCCTAGCAGACTTGCAGCAGGCAGTGAGGGTAGAAGTGGTCTCTCACCACCCTGGGCTCAGCCGCTATCCGCAGCTCTGAGAGGAGTATCAGGAAATGTCAAGAAAGCCACTGCAGAGTCTCGGTGAGGGTGTTTGGTGCTTGTCATGAGTCATACTTGTCACAAACGCAACAGCTTAATTCTCCTTAACGCTACGTATTCTGAATCTACAGACATCGCTGATGTTCACAAAACCACCCACGCTGCTTTAAAACTCAGCCTGGTGTCTGACCGGGTAACCTTGTGCTGGTAGGGCCACCCTGGTATAGCGGTGCAGAGGAAGGCCAGTACCTGGAGATGTCGTGCACCAGTGTAATTGGCGGCTGGAAGTAAGAGAGGTGCTCCTGGTGGAAGTGGTGTTCATCTCAGAGCTGTCCACATCTGTGCTCGTGCGCATACATAGAAGAGCCATTCCAGTAAGGGATAGCTCAGTTGTCAGGGCTGTGAACATCTCTAGACCCTGTAAAATGTCTTTTTCTCTTGACTACAGTTCCGCTGACGTGCATTGAGGGTCCCCGAGTATAGAGAGGTTCATTGTATAAATATCAGCATTTGTTTTTCGATGCATTTTATCTCTACTTTGCAGTACTGATCTGAGTACAAGGTGATCTACTCTTTACCAGTACTCTTGCCAATGCACTCACACACGAGCATTGCTTTTATGTGGAGAGAGGCATGCTAATGGCAATGGCCAGGAAGCTTTCTGGCTGGTCTAGGAGATTGGCAGAGATCTGCTGGGTCCCAGCATGCTACAGCTCCAGGCAAAGTTATGTCTGAGGAACCTTCGGTGGAGTGATAGAAGAGGAGCGGGTCAGGCTTTGAGATCTGCTGGCACACTGGAAAGCAGGCGTGGAGCCCTTATAACATGCCGTTCTGACAGAAGGGTGGGAAATAAGCCGGCTCAGCGTCTGTTTATGAGAGATTTTATTCTGAAAATAAAACTATGATTTTCAGTGCTTCTAGAAAAAAATAGAAGTGAGTGGAGGGGCTGGGAAAGGTGTGAGGAAGCACCGGCTTTCCAGATACTGTCTTTTTGTTGTGGTTTCCAGTGACTCAGAGAAGGAACAGTTTGTGGCCCTGATGCACCTCTTGCTGGCCTGTGGTTGTGTGTGTCCTCTGGGGATTAAGCACCTGATGCTGTTTGCTGCTTCTCTTGACGCTTTCCCAGTTAACTACGCTCTTAAGAAAAGACCAGGACTCTCTAGGGCAACTCAGAGCTTCAGTGAAAATAGAAATATTCACTTAAGGGCCAAGATAGGAGGGAAGTGCCCGGTGGGTAAACCTTGTCCAGCCTAGAGAAAGCCAACAGGACTGTTCGCTACTCTAGTTACAAGGGTTTACTTTGCTGCTGTGAGTATGTGTCGGGGTGTGCATCCTAACTGAAAAGTGACTTGTGCAGTTAGGGGTCTATACCTCATTAAAAGCCGGTGGACAGCTTCACTTTAAAGAAATGTGAGGCTTCTAAATCACATGGGTTCCTCAGGAAATGTGACCCCTGGTTTGGTCCTGTCTGGCTTCAGTTGGCTGATAGGATGGAGCTCTTTTCTCTGCTCAGATATGCTATGTGTGGAGGGAGCTCTTATGAACATTTCTGAAGCTAAGGGATGATGTGAATGGGAAGTGAATGGGGAAAGCTCACTCCTGTGAGTTGAAATCTGTGGTGGTTGGACATGTGAATTCTTGTCTTTGTGGGGAAAGGATACCCGTTTGTAGAGCACCAAGCAGATACGTGCTGTCTGTTAAATGTGCTTCCTAAACGTAGCTGCAACATGGCCTTCACTGGAGGAGGAGGGAAGTCAGAAACATGAGCAGTGTGGCTGCAGTCCTTGGTTCCCCATGCTCTCAGATCTTGCTTGGTATGAGAGTAATTCTTTCCCCTTAAGCTTACATGATGGTTACTAATGTGGGATTGATGAAGTGCCTGTTGTTCACAGCATTCATTGTGAGGGTTCGGTAATCTGGATCTTGTCTCATCCACAGCTGTGGAAAGGCCGTTCAGACCCAGTCCTGCACATTGAGCTCAGACGGTGGGCTGACCTCATGTTGGTGGCACCTCTTGATGCAAACACGCTGGCAAAGCTCGCGAATGGCATCTGTGACAACCTGCTGGTGAGTAACCGGAGCTCTGCCTGAGAGTTCTCTCACCTCCCAGCATTAGACTGTCTGACCTTTCTTTCATGGAAACTCTTGTGCTTCTACAGCATCGAGAACCGTGAGATTTGCATGTTCTGCTCCCACTTCATATGCTTGTCTCTCTTCCTCCAGTATGGTTCCCCTATTCCTTCTCAAACAGTTGTTCTTTCCTTCCCTGACCTACATGCCTTTCCGCTCCTCAGCTCTGTCAGTCTCTTCCATTATTTTCCAGTCCCTGTTTTGTGCCTTTCCTGCTTTTTCTGATGGGCGGAATTTCTCTTTTTCTACCTCCACCCTCTCTCTGTCATGCATGTACACACACACGCATGCGCGTACTCACTTCTGAGTTCCTCTCTGCATTTTTTAGATGCAATCTGGAAAGACACCTGTGAGATCAGATAAAATTGTTTACTTCCTGCTACCTCACCTCCTCCCTCACCTAAGTGCATAGCACAGAAATTCGAACATGCTCACACTTACCTTCCCGTTTCAGCTACATTTTGCTTGTTCAGGCTTGTTTTTCTGGTATTAAAAGTGCTCTGGCTCAAAGGCTGATCAGAAAAGTGTATTAAAAGAGAGTGTGCTTCTCTGTTGGGTGATGGGAACCTTCAGCGGCGCAGAATGCTTTGTGTCCAGGCAGTAGGTCTTCATTAGGAGAAGTCATAAGCGTTAACCACCCAAAAGATCTGCCAGGAAGCTGCAGATCTGCAAGTGTTGCTGTGGTGCATCACCCTTCAGTAATGCAAGGAGGCTAGAATTAGGGATGGAGGGCAGCGCATAAGCTCTGGCCAGGGAGCCCTGCATGACCAACTTTGTCGTTCAGGCAAGAGGGAGTGCATATAAATGAACAAAGTACACCCGGAGCAACAGCCCTCATTTGTATGAGCAGATCACTGGAGATCTGAGAGAAGCCAGAAAGAGCTGTGGGAGGGACAAGCAGTGTCTTGTCCTTCTGGGTCCCCTTGGTACTACAGGTGTGATGGTGATAGCAGAAGGAAGAGCTCAGGAAGGATATTAGGGACGCATGACTTCACAAACTCCTGCCAGTCTTTTCGGAGAGCCTTGTGGAGGTAAGAGGTCGCTCCAGCAAAGGAAAGCAAGTGCTGGAGCTGCTGGTTGGCAAGTTAGAACAGATTCTAGCAGACTTTCCTGTGCTGGGAAGGGTTCAAATCAGAGGGCATAAAAAAGGATGGGCAGGGTTCTCCTAAGTACTCTACAATCTGAGCAGAGACCCTGCACCAGGGACTGTTGCTACCTGGGAGGCTCCTGTTGCATGATTTAAATGTTGCTAGGCCTAGGGAAACTGATGGACATTGCATTGAGAGCAACCAGCATTTATCTTTTTGGGAGGTGAGGTGATACTGGGTTATCTGGAAGTTCTGTGTTACTGAGGAGTCAAATATGATTCCCTGTAGCATGCAGGAGCTGCTAAATGATTTGTAATCTGCCAGCATCTTCTGCAGCAGCCCAGATGTGTTCGTGTTATCCTCTGTTTGTATCCTGGAAGCTTCCCTTGTGAGGAGTTACGGATCCAGTTGGCATATCATTTAAAAAAGACTCACTTGCCAACTTTTTGTGTTTAGCTCTACAGCTGGCTTATCTGAAGTGTTGCCTGGGGATTTCTCTATAGCTGATACGATCTGTGGCCACCCCTCACCTTCTCTCGGTATCCCACATGGGCTGGCAGTCTGCACACATCGTGTTCCAGCTTGGTTTGCTCCAGCGATTGGGCTGCTTACTTGGCCCCAAGCCGGAGTAGGATGGGATCTATCCTTTTTGTAGCCTCCCTCATCTTTCTTGCCTGTCAGAGATGAGCTTTGCTGAATGTAATACAAATTAGTAGCAGCCCTGTGGATCTGCCTGTGGGCTAGTCCAGCTGCACTGACAGATTGAGGCTTTTGGCCCTCTAATGACACCAAGGCTGGGAAAGCGCTTCTGTGCAGCGCAGTGATGAGGAGGAATGAGGAAAGACAACCCATCTCAGAGCTGAACCTCTTGGCTTCTCTTGCAGACTTGTGTCATCCGTGCTTGGGATCTGAGCAAACCTCTGCTCTTCTGCCCAGCCATGAACACGGCCATGTGGGAGCATCCCATCACAGCTCAGCAGGTGGAGCAGCTGAAAGGCTTTGGCTACACAGAGATCCCCTGTGTGGTGAAGAAACTAGTGTGTGGAGATGAAGGTCAGTCCTTTTGCATGTCTTCTGACTGGTTTCCTGCACAAGTGCTGCTCTTATCCTGAAGGGATGTGCATTCTTTTGCCGTGTGGTCTTCAAGATGTTGGACTGCGGGGAGCAGGTGCTCGCTGCCAGGTTTTATATAAACAAACTGAAGCTTTGCCCTGTGCTAGCTGATATCTATTATTCTTGTTCATTAATTTTTAAGTAGTCTTAAGAGACCACCCAAGCCAGGCTTTCAAATGAGCCATTAGATAGGCCTGATATTTAAAAGAAATACTCATTCAAGAAGAGAGTAGATCAAAGAGAAGGAAGGCTTTGCGGTGAGCGTTATCAGCCTGGGATTCGGGTGTCCTGACCTTGCCCTAGACTGTGACTGTGGGTTGTTTTCATCACGCCTCAGTTCCTCATCTCTAACACAGGGATAATATCTTATCCCTGAGAGCAGACAGTGAGAATAAGCACTTTGCAGACGTGGCTGAGGGTGTAGCTGGACGTTCATTTAACATTTGTTGTTGTTTGTTGCCTGGGTTACTTTTCAGTTTCCCAATCGAGTTTTGATTTGGGGTTTTGACATCAGACTTATCTGTGAAGTGAAAGAGGGGGG